CAGCTCACTGTGGGGGGCAGGACATGGGTACCCCACCCTCCCCTGCCTTCTCTGCACCTGTTCTGCAGTCGGCCTGGTGCCAGCGGGGCTGGGCAGGGGGCTCTGGGCGCTGTCCCCAGCTGGGGAGCCAGGCTTTTCTCCGTATGCTAATCTCCCATCTGTGCTGGCTCCGGCCTGGAAACAATGGAGCCCCCGAGCCGAGGGGTGGTGGGGACGGGGGGCCTGGGGCACCCTGTGCCCTCCCGCTCGGGAGCCTCTTCCGCGCTGCGGGGGCGAGCGCGTGCGCCGGGCGGCCGGGAGTCGTGACTGCCGGGCTTTGATTCCAGGGAGGCTTTTGTGGCTGGAGCGAAGGGAATCGTGACTCGGTGCCAAAGGGACCCACGGGCAGGGGCCAGCTGGGCCCTTGTGTCTCTGGGGAGGGGGGCATTTTTTTTCCCCTGGTGTTGGCACAGGCGGAGAGCTGCCCTCCCCTGCCCTAAGCTTGTCACAGAGGAGGGAAACTGAGGCTCAGAGTGCCACCCGTGGCCCCGGTGGCTGGGATTTGATGCAGGGGAGGGGGCTGGGGGGTATCCTCTTGTCTCCCCCTCTTCGCATTGCCATCACCCTTTGCCGTGCCCGGGTCACGGAGGGCAACTCCCCCTCCCTGCGAACCTGGGTGTCCAGAAGAGTGGCCTCTCCTCCCGCCCACCCCTTCCTTTGCAGCCACAAGCTGACACGCTCGAGGCTTCGCTGCTAGTATTTTTAAGCTGCTTTTTCCCACGGCTTCTCAGAACCAGAGCTGCCTCTTGGAAGCGGGTGCGGGGGCGTGGGGGGCTGGGCAGTGCTGACGGAGGTACTAGGGCTGGCTCACCTCTGTAGCTGGGAAACCTCTGGCTGCAGGGGTCACATCAATCCTGGAGGTCGGGTGGGGGTCACGGGGTAGCTGAAGAATCGGGCTCCTTTCTGGTCTCTGTGGCCCCGTCTGGCTGTCTTGGCTCCCGCACCTGGCCCCCATCCCGGGGGGGATCCGTCCCTTTCTCATCCCCAAGCAGAAGCTGGGTGTGAAGGCTTCGTTCCCCGGGCCCCTCCCTCTGCATCGGGCTGGCTGCGCGAGGTACTGCACGTGCTGGGGGCTCCGCACTGGGGTCACGTGTGCTGGCGAAGGGGGGCCCATTTCCAGCGCGAGGCGGGGGGGTCTCCATGACCTCGATAGCATTGCCTGGGCCTGGCTCCCCACCCCCCCCCAGCCGGCTGCAGCGTGCATGCCTGGCTCCGCATAGCCCCCACTTCCCCCCAAGCAGCTGGAGGGGCTTAGGCTGGGGGGGGGGCTGCTAATTTAATGGGTCCTTCCAGAACTGGGCACCCTGCCTGCCCGCCCGGGGTGGAGGTAGCGGGCTCCCTGCCTCTCCGAGCTGAAACAAAGGGGAGCCAGGCGGGCTTGTGAGGGTTAAAGCAGCTGGGTCCCGTGTGCCTGGAATACCAAGTAGCCCCAGCCCATGGATGGGGGGGATGCT